AAGGCATTTCCGTGACTTCCAGCTCTCATTAAGGAAGGATCACAGCACTGTGCACCATTGCAAGAAACTGCAGCCTACAGCTGGGCCGGGACTAAGAGCAGATCTACTGGTGCCTGTCCATGACTGTACTTGCCTACAGCAGCCAGGAACAGGGGTTATAAACTACTCTGTATCCAAAACACTACATGTTGGTGCATATATAGAATACATATATGATCAGTGTTCAGCCCCATAAAACAGTAATTCCTGTGACAGGCCCTTAGACTGTCCTTGCTTCGAGGCACCTCAGACAAAGCCATACTTCAACTTCAGCTCTCAAAGTAAGAGCCACTTGTCTCACATGGGCACTTTCCTTGGTGAGGAAGGGCAGGGAAGAGAGGGAATCTATCTTCCCCTGTGCTAAGATCAAAATAAACCCATAATCACAACAACATTTTTAACATACGTGGGTTAAAGCACATCTTCAGAAAGAGCAGCAATTTCATCAGCGCACAACTATTTTCTATTACTTGGATAAAGGAACAACCTTGGATGCACAAAAGCGGGTTCGCTGGGCCAGCTTTTAAAAAACATTCGGGTCCAGCTTAATGGGGAAAGCTCAGGCTTGCTTTCTCTATAGTTAGGCTCCAAAGCCATCAGAGCAACAGGCAGCAGCAGCAGTGCTGGGCCTTTCAAGACCCCACCACGACCATGGCCATCAGCGACACTTGGCGTGCTCAGGATGAGCTTCCACATGAAACTTTTGTGCCAATTCATACAAATGTGTATAAATGTAGATACTTATACATATGTACAAATCTTCTGCAGGCAATTCTAAATTACATTTGCAGGCCTTGATCCTGACAGGGGACCTCAACCACCCAGACATGCTTTGGAACTGCCAGCACAGCGAACTGCCAGCAGCACGGCAACTACTGGAGTGTGTTGAGGGCAACTTCCCAGCACAGGAGATGGAGAGCCTGACCAGAGGAGAGACACTGCTGGACCTGTTGCTCATTAATGCAGAAGAGCTTAACCAGAGGTAGCTTGGAAGTAGCCTGGGGTGCAGTGATCATGCCCTGATGGAATGTTCAATCCTGATGGGTAAAAGATGGGTAAAAAGTAGAGTGAGGACCTTGAACCTCAGGCAAACTTTCAAAAGATGATAAGGGCACTAGTGCACAGGATGCCTTGGAAAACTGCCCTCAGAGGCAAAGGAGCGAATGAGAGCTGGGAAATAAAGACTTTTTTCTCAGGACATGAGAGCTCTCAATCCTGATGTGCAGTAAGTTGGGCAGGGGAGGCAAGAACCAGCTTGGTTAAGTCAAGACCTCTTAGCCCAACTAAAACACAAACCCAAAATGCATAGGCAGTGGAGGCAGGGATATACATCCTGGGGAGATTATAGGGATGTGGATGGTAAGTGCAGAGAGGGGATCAGGAAAGCCAAGGCACAGATGGAGCTGAACTTCTCTACTGACATGAAAAATAACAAGGGTATCTTCAGGAATGTGGGACAACAAAGGAAGGTGAAAGAAATTGTATTTGCCCTGATAAGTGAAATGGAAGACCTGGCTACAACTAACAACAGGTGATTGGCAACAGCCATAGTGGCTTCATTGAAGGCAAATCGTGCCTGAAGAATTTGGTGGTCTTCTAACATGCAGTTAGAGCATTGGTGGGTAAGGGAGGAGCAACTGACATCATCTACCTGGACTTGTACCAAGCATTTGACACCGTCCCACACAAAATCCTTGTCCTAAATTGGAGAGATCTGGAGTTGATGGATGGGCCACTCAGTGCATAAGGAACTGGCTGGATGGTCACATCCAAAGAGTTGCAGTCAACAGCTCAACGTCTGCTTGGGGAGCAGAGATGAGTGGTGTTCCTCAGAAGGCTCCAGGGACACCTTATAGTGGCCTTCCAGTACTTACAGGGCTCCGACAGGCAAGATGGGCATGGACTCTTTATCAGGGAGTGTAGTGATAGGATGAGGGGTAATGGCTTTAAACGGAGAATAGATTTAGATTAAATATTGGGAAGAAATTCTCCCCTGTGAGGGTGGTGAGGCCCTGGCACAGGTTTCCCCGAGAAGCTGTGGCTGCCCCCTCCCTGGCAGTGTTCAAGGCCATGTTGGACGGGGCTTTGGGCAACCTGGGCTAGTGGAAAGTGGCCCTGCCCGTTGCAGGGGGTTGGGACTAGGTGATCTTCAAGGTCCCTTCCAATCCAAACCACGCTATGATGGTAAAATAAAGTCCAAACAAGACAAAAATTCTTACCTCAGAAGAGGCTGATCATTGGTGAGAGCTTGAATAGGACCAAAAGACGACTTTCGGGAGGCTCACTCCGTTTTTAGGCTCTGTTAAACCACTCTAATGATGCAAACAGAGCCAATGTCTTCCATACTCCACAGGCCATCAGGAGGAAGAAAAAGGTTCCAGCACTTAAGAAAATAATATCATTTCATCACAATGATCCCTGTATAGATTTATCATTCAGTCAGTAAGGAATTAACTTATTACAGAAATATGCATATTTATTGGAAAAAAACCCAACACTTCAAGAGCTTCCTACACGTTTTATAGGAGGACCCAGGCTGTTGGGCACTATCTCAAGGGAGTTTGTTTCAACACATCTTTTCACCATATTTTCCTCTCTGACTGGCAATGTGACAGCACTAAAAATGGTGAATTTGAAAGAAGATGGAGGTACAGAAAAGATCTCACAATCCTGGAAACAAACCATTTTACCTCCATGAAATGCTCCAAGATTAACCACGTCTCTTAAAAAAAAAAAAAAAAAAAAAAAAAAAAAAAAATCAAGGTTGTTTTACCATTTGGTTCTATTTCCAGACTTGAGATGAACCCCAGCATGTTTTTAACAGCATTCATAAGGAAAAGTTTGGGGTTTTTTCTTTCTTTTTTTTTCTTTTTTTTTTTAAATCCATGGCAACTGACACTCACAGGAACCAAGTTTGCTCACCTCTTCAAACATCCTCACCTCTTCAAACATCCCACAACTGCAGCATAATTTCAAGTAGAAACATCCACCTCTGGCCAGGTCCCAGCTTTCCCTCCCCTCCTCACAGCCCCTGCAGTTCCTCAGCACTCAGTTCATTCATACTGAAACTGGAAAAGCCCCCCCCAGCCCCCCCAGTATCTAAGCTGCAGTGGAGCGTGGCGGCTCTGCTCAGGGCTGGCAGGGAAAGGGACGTGCTCCACACCAGAAATGCAGCATCTGACAGAGCCTGTGGGATTGCAGGCTCATGCTGCACCCAGCACCTCTCTCAAGAGATGGAGGCACCCTTGTTCTCTCATTTTGCCACACAGCTCCCAGTTTATAAGCTGTGATGTTTTAGAGACGTGCACCTTCTACTTATCCAAATAAGAACCAGCTACATTAATCCAGAGAGACAACAGCTACTGGCTTTTGCCCATTTTAAAACACTAGTAGTAACTTTTAATAAAATTATGTTCAACAAGACAAAAAGTATCTGGTAAAATCACGTCATTGTCCTATTTGCACAGTGGCAGTAACAGCATATATGAATCACAATACGTGGCACAAATCTGCAGATCACCCTTTTACAGAGTCAATCTAGAGCAAATTTCCATTTAGAATTTTACGATTTATACCCACTCTATCCCATTTTCTTTTTGATTTGTTTCAAGACTGCACAGAAATTCAGCACTGCTAAAGCAAAACAAAAAATTCACTTAAACATTTTTTTGAAAAACTGTATTGAACAAAAAGATTACACAAGATAAAGAAAATCAGAGAAAAAACAATACAACAGGCACTGAGGCCAGAACATGAGCAAGCCCAAGGAACACTGTAATACATCTGTTTCACAGAAAAACTTCCCTCAGAATGAAAGTACCAATGAAATCCAGACTGTACTCACAATTTTTCCCTTTGTTGTAGTGAATATTATACTTATTTAGAAGGGCACAGTTTCTTAAAAACCGATAGAAAGGTAGCTAGTAAAAATTGAGACCATCAGAGCATCTGGTATAGTACAAGATCAAAACAAGACAATAGATTTGTGTAACTCACTGAAAACTCTTTATGCCCGTCCTATAAAAAATACTGTCCTTGGCTTTAAAAAAACACCAAGATCAAAGATTTGGCTAATATTCTAAGTATTCAAATGACATACTAATGAAAGTCCCTAATCCAAAAGATTTATTGGCTCAAAATAGACTTTTGGTGTGATCCCAATTTAATTTCACCATACCCAAAATGCCCAGAACATGCATGTGTTATATTTAAACATATCCATTTAGAGTGACTGCAATTCTAGCTCACGTCAAAATGCGATATTGGCAGTTGCCAGAATGAATGATGCCATCCTGCTCTGCACTGAGGTCACCGGCCAGGCTATTTCCTCTGTTTTTTTTTTTCCTCGGTGCAGCTTACTGGCATGCAAAAATCAGAACAGGGGGGTTTAAACACGCACCCTCAGTGAAATTCAAACAAGCCATCACACTTGCAAAGCAAAGCAAGTGCCAGAACCATCGTCCCCGCTCCTCTTTGAGGGATCCTATACAAGATACAGAAACCACAGCTAAGGTGCCATGCGCTTTGAGAACAAGCAAGCAGCAAACCGGGGGGGGCAGCAGGCAAAAGCAGGTCCCAGCTTAGGTTCCTGTCTGCAGCCTCACCCCCTGCAAGGGGCTTTTGGGTGGGTGGAACATAATTCCACATGTGAGTCAAAAGGGGGAGGGGAGGATGGTTTGTTTCTAGCTGATTCCACAAGCCCTGATTAGCAGATCATATACAAATACAAACCGTTAATATTCACAGAACAACCTCTTGTACCTAAATATTATAATAGATTTAACATCATTAATAAATATATAAAACAACATGTTAATCTCACAGACAAAACACGTTTCAAAGGTCAGCATTGACTGAAATATCCAGGCAGTTTGGTCATTGTTGAAAGCACTGAAGAAGTATACACAGATAATAATGTGAGTGTTAAGAACAGGCTCACAAAATATAAACTTAAGCTTGGTTTAACATTTCTGAAGAGGCTCTGAACTGGCCCTAGAAGCTATTCTGAATGGCCTTCAAATGAAGGCCCTTGCAGGCATTGCATATTTAAGAACAGAAGAAACTCCTTTACACTGTACATATCTCAGCACTTCGTCTAGATCAGCTGTATTCCCCGGGGACCAGCACACACAGGGAAGTGGATCTGTCCCAGACGATGCTGCTCTACCTTTCATACAATCTCGTGCTGAAAGAGGACATTGTCTAGTCAGCACTTAAAAACCACAGTCTGGGAGATGGAGACCTGGGTGCTCACTGCTAGTCCTGACACAGACTTCTTCTGTCACCTTAAAGCAGGCTCTTTACCTCTGTCTCAGTTCACCTGCCTCTGAAAAGGAGAGGCAGTCATTCCCTGTCTCCCAGTACTGCTCTGAGGCTTAATTTCATAAGGTGCTTTTGAAGAGTCTCAGAAAAGGCACTATAAAAGTGCAGCTATTATAATGTCAGAAACACAGAGGTGTGCGTCCCACAAGCCTTTCCCGAGACACCAATGTGCAAATCTAGAAGAGATGAGGACTTGCACTGCGCCACACTTCAGCAGTCCCATCACAGTAGTTTGATTTTCTCCCACAGCTTTGAACAAGCTTCACATTTCTGAGTCTTGACAGAATTACTGGGTTGCCCCGTTTCGCAGACTGTCTCCAGTCTCCGTTTGCTCTAACGGGCCAAGTTCCGGATGTGTGACCGGGGACTTCCTCTGCCCTCGAAGAGTGTGTGCATTCAACATCTCCAGCAGCAAGTCATACACTGGGACCACATTTTTACACTTCATGCTCAGGAGATGCTCCATTCCCTTGTTACTGTGAAGGAGAACAGCAAACAAGTCAGCAATCTGGGTCCAACAAAGCAGAGGAGGAAGACGTGCTCATGGCTTCAAGAAAGTCTTTCTTATTAGGAGTGAAGAGGATTTAGCTGCTGTAGTCTCTGAAATCACTTACCACTACCAACAGTAACAACATCCTAATAGTTTAAAGCCGAGTGGTTTACTATTTAGAGAACCAAGATTTGTTTTACATGGCACAAACCGGCCTCAGAAAACAACGCAGATATATCAACCTGATTGAAATCAAAGAGAAAACCTCTCTGATGCTGTAAATGTGGGAGGCCCCCACGCTGCAGCTTTGTACAAAAGGGGAAGTTACAACGTGTAGCTCTAGTGACTCCCTACGTCTCCTGCCTGGTTGAGTAGACCAAGACCAAACTACCCTGGCTAACTTCAAGCAGTTCGTTTCCTCTCTGCATGTCCAGTATCAGATCACGGCAAAGAAGGAATTGCAGCCCCCACCTCCTACATCCAGCTCTTGAGGATCCTGCGCCATTTGATAAGGCCAAGTGCATCACTTATTTCCAGAACAAAGTAAAATTGACTGACCAGTGCTGAGCAATGTAAAGGATTCAGGTTACAACGAAGTAGCCTCCAGACTTCAGCTGAGGCAGGTACAGCATAAAAACTCTTGCTTTAATAAAAAAATAAAAAAATTTTGCAAAGATTCACAATGTTTATTCATGCCATGCCAGAACAAGTGCTGCCGTGATGCGGTGTCACACCACAGTGAGCAACCTAGGTGCCAGCAGTGCATCAGAGCTGTAGGTCGGGTTCAGCTCTGGCTGCTGCTGCAGCTTCTGCAGGGCCAGCTCTCAAACCCACGCCCAGCTCACAAACGGGCTGTTAAAAGCTGCCTGTTGGCACAGTCGGGTCCCTGCTGTGGCCACCTGCTCTCCCAGGACACTTGTTGCCAAGGTGGCTGTGCCTCTTCCAGTGTCCCTAAACAGGGTCAGGTATGACCATCTCTCTCTCCTTTGATGTTCCAGCCTGGTCCCAGGACTGTCTTCCCTGGACACCCTCCACAGCCAAGCCATAAGACAGCTTTACAAATAGCTGGTCTCTGGGTAAGAATTTAAAATTACAAACAGCCTGAAAATTCATGCATCTGTTTGTAGGGCCCTGCCTTGAATCTGCTGTACTGCAGCAGAGACGAGCAGCTCACGGAGGTCCAGGAACATGCAGGGAGCAGAGGAGCTGCTTCCCATGGGGAAAGCAGGAGCCTGGCATTGCGGTAGCATGAGTCACATGGCAAAAATGTTGTGGTTCTGAATAAAAGACCTAACAGTTAGTTGCTCCCAGGACCCACAACAAATTTGGCCCGGGAACCACATGGCACCCAAAGTACACTTTGCTTCACCAAAGCCTGCACTGCAGATCGGTTTTGAAAGAGACTTTTACTTTGGGTAGAAGAGTTTTGGTGTCTGGGTGAGAGGCTTTTTGAAAGACTGGATTTGTGTTATTATTGTTTAACATTTCAGGCAGATACATAATGAGCAATTTGATATAATACAGTTAAGACAGCTTTCAACACAATGATTCTGGGTGCCAGCAAGCACTTGAGTATATTGCCTATTTAGTTGTGCTGGGAATGAAAGCTTTACAATGAACAGAGATGAAGAGCAGTACCAGGATTCCCTCAGGAGTGCTCCGGAGTTCAAGCCTTGCTTTGTTGCTGTAATAAACAAAGATAGACTAACACCTTGTGTGTTACACATATTCTGTAAAACTTACCTGGCATGTCTGACGTGAGAGAGCAGCATCAACAAATTGGCCAGACGAGTTGTCTGTTGCTGCGAGGGGATTCCGCTCTTGGCAATAACCCACACCAAAGCATCAGTGACTACGTTAAGCAGGTGATGCCGTTTCCTGTTGCTTTCAGGTTCCTCTGTTGACAAGGGAAACATGCCTAACCAGAGAAGAGAGAGAAATACTCCCTGCTCATGAGGACAAAAAAAAAAGCTATGACTGGATTTTTTCTGATGTAATATTTCAACAGGATTAGAGAAGATACGTTTCTTGACACCACCCCCACTCCCCCCCAAACCTGTACAAATGATGCTCCATGTGCCACATCAAGCTTCAATTTACATTCCTTTGCAAAAATTTGATGGCCACACCATTTGCAAACTGAGTAATTCTCCTAAATCCTCCCAAGACAACATGTTGAACATAGACCCTTCAGTCCAGAGAATGGACATGATCTCCATTCTCCAGTTTTGTTTTTTCCCTTTGAATTGCTCTGTATCTTGTGGTTTAGTAACTATTATGAAATATAGAATTACGGTTTCTCTAATCCCTCTTGCTGAAAAAAAATATTTTTTACTTGAATATACCATATGGAGGGAGGAGAACGTGGTGAGAGACACTGCTCATGGATCCAGCCTGCCATGGTCTCCCTACAGCTCACTAAGGGTGCCACAATACAGCACTTGCCTACAGTGAGAAACCTTAAAAGTCAGCAAAAATAAAAAAAAAGGAACTGCTGATATGGAGAGAGGAGAGAAGAAATCGCCACTAGGAAGGTCTGGGAACACACAGTAGTGTTACTGATAGAGCAGAAGAGAAAAAGAAAATCCTCCAAAAGATACTTCTGGAAGGACACAGATCCAAAACACTTTGAAACTTAGGAGTAAAATATTAACTTCAGCAAGAAAGGAGAGCAAAGAGAGATGAAGTGAGAGATTTGTTTGAGAGGTGAGGCTTTGAAGCAAATACAGCTGATGAACATGGGTTTTTGCTGGGTTTTTTGGTTGCTTGCTTGCTTGTTGTGAAGTGTGGGTTTGTTTGGTTTTTTTTTAAAAAAAAGAACAGCTTTTGTTGTCTGCTGAAATAATGGTATCCATCAATAAACAAGTAGAATAACAGTTGGACTATTCCTCTTCAGAACTGTGCTGAGAATTATGCAGAAGTTCCTTGCTGAAAACAGTAGATGTAAATAGTTAGCCGTTATTTTGTTGTTGTATTTTTTGGACAACATTAATTACAAAATTTTCTGGGGAATAAAATTATTTTACTGCAGACTACCCTAAACTAGCAAACACACACTCCTATTTGCCTTGTGTAAAAGGCTGCAAAGCAAAGCTCCTATCCTGAAATTCATCCTGCAGAACCATTATTTTCAATAATTTCTACCATTTAATTACCATTAAACAGGAATATTTAAGCCCAATTAATCATAACTCAGTTGAGTTACTAGTTCTATTAGAATTCAGAATTAAGGACAGGTTTGTAGAGCTGTACAGCAACTTTACACGTAACCAGGATGCACAGAGACAGGAGCAAAAGTTCTCGTTGGGAACGTGCCCACAGCCAGAGCCATGAGCTCCACTTTGTGAGAAACTTTCAGATTTTGGGTCTTTCATGCAGTTCTTACAACAGGACATAAACCCTACAACCAGCAAATGGTGCAGCTCAGAAGTTTCTTGAGCAAAATTCCTTTACAATCTGACAGTTAGAAGTCCTTTCCTATTGTTCTCTTTCAGCAGCTTTGATATTTCTGCCATTTTTAAAGGCTGATTTCCCAGGCACCCTCGAAATAAAAAGTACACTTTGGTGAGTGCCAGAGTCAACTGCATACTCACTGGAATTGAGGAGGATCATTGCCTTGACACACAGATACTCCTTGTGCTGCAGTTTCAGCTCTCGGAACCTCGAGGTCATGGCCAGGAGCATATCAAAGATCTCCAAAATTCCCTCTACGCATTTGCCCTCATCCCTATAGAAACACATTTAAAATGGTACTGAAAAAGTAGAATTAAGGAACTCTAACTCAGCTAGATAAAATTCAAAGCCCAAAGGAGGCTGTAAAAGGCCTATCCATCTCACCTTTGGGAGAATTCAAAAGGTTCCATCATGATAACTAAATTGGAAATTACACCGGTATAAAAGGTCAGCACCTCTAAGAAACTGATTTTTCTCTTTAAAGCGCATGCAGGATAAACTACAAGAAAGTAAGATCATATTTCGGTAAGAGGCTTTAACTTCATGACTATTATAATTCTGGAAAATCAGTTTGAAACTCTGTAGTGCAGGGCACAGTACCACCTTGAATCATTTTACAGATTTGTTTCACAAGGAGTTAATACTATGATCAGCGACATCACTATTTGTATTTGACAAGCCTCAGGACTTGGTGAATAAGAAAGATCCACTAAAAAAAAGTTTCTTGGAACAATAAGACATTAAAAAAGAATAAAACAACCTCTACCCCCCATTCCTCAGCACCTTCTTCTTTGAGAGTGAAGATGTAAATAGATTTTTGGGTTCTTCGTGGCTTTGTGGTTTGGTTATTTTTTGTTTGCAAGTGTTTACTGAATGCAACTTTCTCATTTTGGATATTAGAAATGGCTCCATTTTCTGATCTACAAAAACCCCAAACAGCGCTAATCCATTCCATTGGGTTTAAAATTAAGCAGCAGCAGATTTCAAACCACTGAAGTTACTGTTCCTGATTTTTGGTTAGTTTTTTTTACATGTTGTGAGAGATTGAAATGTCCTCTGGCTGTCTCAAAGCTTGCTCGTGTTTGTGCAAACCTCCAAGTGAAGCTGCTGCGCCCTGTGAATGGCTCTGGGGGATGCTGCCCAGAGGAGCGGAGTGTATTGAAGGATGCACTCTCCACCTCTTTGCAGTTGCATTGTCCGGACTCTTTACATAAACCTCAAAGGGGCAGACATGGACTGAGCTGCCCCATCCTGTAGCCGTTTGTGGCTCTATTGTGGAGGCCAGACCCCATGCCTGCATTGGCAACGAACTGATAAGAGGCAAACGTTCCTGCCCTTGACGCAGGATGCAACAAAACCTGTTGGACCAGAGGAAAAAAAAAAAACCTAAAGGTGAGCAGATATGCTGATCAACTGGTACGATGAACTTAAAAAGGCAGCAGAAAATCTTGCTCTTGGTGCATTTACCATTGAGGCCTGACCTGTGTGCAGCCACCACCGAAGAGCTGAAGGCTGAGGACCAACGGGATGCTGCTGGATCCATGGTGGTGACTATTCTTGAGGCCTATCCCCCATCCTTGCTTTATTTCTGCCTTTTCATTCTATTCTGTCCTATCGCTACCCCTCTTCACTTTTTTAATAATAAAAACCTATTTTGGGTATACGGCATTTGACCTAGTTTGTGTCTTAATCTCTCTCTTGGGATCGTATTGAAACCTCCCCTGACATTGGATCGGGACACATGTACTGGACTAAAAAAAGCAATTAAGCTCTATGACACAGTATGCAAAGGGATGCTTCTTATACTATCTGTAATATGAGATTTCTTTTTCTCTGTGATGCTTTTAAGATGAGACAGACTTAAGCACAGCAGTGCAGGAGAATTAAAGAACTTTACTCCTCTGCTGGATCCCAAGAGGAAGGTGCTGAGCCTTCAGGCTGGGAAGCAGGCACAGGCAGGTAACACTAACCAGGTGCAGCAAGTACTGCCTGCAGACAGCTAGCTGCTTCAATAATGCCCAGTTTCCCCTGTTCCTCATAGCAAAGGGAAATTTTAAGCTTTGGAGAAGGACAGGCAGCTGCCAGTTTCAAAACAAAGACACAAGCATCAGAGAAGTACTTGTCTACAAAGATTATGTAGGAAATGTATCTGAAGTTCAGCTAAGATAAAAACAATCAAGTTACAGACCAGTTTCATATACACTTGTCTTAAAAAAAAAATAAAAATTACAGTGTGCCCAGATGCTTGCTGGCTCCCACTCTGCTGTGTCTTGTGGAGATGAAGGAATGCCTCAAATAAACTCACTTTATTCAGCACATATTATCCTCCTGAGGAAGTAAATGTATCATACATTTTCAGCAATTTCTTATCATTGCATTGAACAACACAGCGTGTCCTGTATGGAATTTTATACTGGCAGATAATAATTTATGTCATATATTTTATAAATTAAATTTATTTCTCTTACTAACCCATTTGGCTTTCTGTATCTACAATGATTATTACTGAGCTTAAGCCACAGAGCTGGTATAGACCTGAATTTCCACAGGTTGAAAAGGTTAAGAGACATTTTAAACCTACCCAAGAGAACATATTGTTTCCCTGACTTTTTACCAGTGTGAAGCCCAGGTCAAAGCCTCTGAGGTCCTGTAGAAAAACACCCTTACTAATCCGTATTCTTCCCTGCTGGTACATGATGTTACAGAGAAATAATTTTTAATCTTGGAAACACCCTGCTTTAGCTTGAAAAAAAATGCTTTCACTATTAAAAAGCAAGCTAGGGGTTTTTTAATTGCTTTTGACTAGGGCTGCAATGTTCATTATTATGGCTATTTATGAAGTCTGCGCTAGGGGCAGGCAGAAAAACAGGTGGAAAAGCTACTTTAAAAAGCTAAAATATGGCCTGACACTACATCTGCTTTTTTTGAGGGGTGGGAAGGACAAAAATCTATCATCAGCCGCATTGTGTTGATGTGCCTATTGTTTCAACATCTAGAGACCTGGACCAAAAGGAATAAAACCAATGAAACATGCGAAAAATACAGAGAAAATTCAATTGTAATGTGCTACAGGAATTAAAGAGCTGGCAAGTTCAACAGTACTGTTTACACTTAGCATTCCTTAAGCCTGTCAGGATGTGGAAACTCAAGACTTTGTTGTTACAAATACAAGTAAAGGATATTGTTAGTTATACTATTAATAACATCTCCCATACTTAAACCTCTTCCTTTTACCATTCCTGCCACCTCCAAACATCTCATATGAAGTGTTCTCAGGAAGTTTATTACTCTCACCTATCTAGTACAAGGTCTGGTGCAAAAATTAGTTTCCCAGGATGGTCGATTGATCTCCACATCAAACCAATCATTAAAACTTCCATCCAGCAGCTCTCCAAGAGTCTTACTTGGTCATATAGGCTGAGATCAATGAAACCTAAAATGATGAAAATAGCATAAAATAAATGAATCTGTTTATTTCTTTGTTTTGATAAAGCAGACTGAGTATATGAGAAACAACAGAAACAGAAAGAATTACGGGCTGTGAAGAAAGCCAGAAAAGGGAGCACTGACATGAGAAGGACCATGCTGCCATCTCAAATAGGAACATAAATATTTGTTATCATTGTCAAATCTTCCACAAAACATCTGAAATAAAGCAGAGCGATGTTCAAGGGCAATTATTCCCATACTGCTGGTGAAACTCAAGTGGCTGCAGAGGACCTGTCTTATTCTTGGCCACCGCTTTAGATGACGGTCCCACAGCCTCCTGAGAGGCACCAGGGAAACATTCGGGAAACTCCCATTTGTTGGAGATTACTGCATTGCACTGCAGAGGACTCCCAAGAAAATAGCTTGTTCTTTCCCCAGAACCCATATGGTTGTCATTTGCAGGTTTGTGGGTTTTTTTTTTTTTATTTATGACAGGTGTGTTTCTGGGTTTGTTGGGTAACTATGAGAGAATCCACATCTTGGTGCCTGTGTTGACCCTATCCTATCCCTTTCCTGCTGACTCCTTCCCCAAAATTGCAATAAACCAGAAGAGAAAAAAAAAAAAAAAAAAAAAAAAAGAGAGACAAGGGTAGTTGGTGAAGGTCATAGTGTCCCCATACACAGCATCCCAGAAACAAGACCAGAATTAATGTGATTGTGCATAAACCTGGTGCAGCATTTACTTCTCTCCAGAACTTACAGCCAGGAGTCAGATAGCCCTGCAGCACAGCCAGAAGGGAGAGACAGTTGTTGCCCTGTCTTTCCCTTCCCCTGTAAAAAACACTGGGGAAAGAAAAGATGCATAGAAGCCAAAAAAGAGAAGTAAAATTTACATACCAAAACAGCAGAAGTGTAAATTATTAAAACACAAACGGGAAAGCAGACTGGCCAGTTAAGGTGTACAACCACAGATACAATGAAGACCAGTTCAGTGGTCAAAAGCAGAGCTGCTTTAGACAGGTCTCTTAGCAAAGGTGCTTCATTTTCAAACAAGTGGGCATTTACGACTCTACATAGTGAAAAATTGTTACAGCCTGGCCACGAGAGACAGGTTTCCCTTAGTTTTTACCAGTTGTCTGAGGTCTTAAAATACAGACAGTACGTTTGCATTGTCAAAGAATCTTCTGTCGGTGATTTATATAAATGCTCCATATATTTTAATCTCATTAAACTACTAGGCTGGAAGACAGTCAGTGACAGCCCAGGTTGACATAAACTGGGTAATGCACGCTCTCTCTTACCAGTGCTAGAAGTGCTGCCTTTCAAAATTGATAGCCTTGCTCCTTATTTTGTAAGAAGGGTAAACAGGAGCCTATGAGGGGTACCTTCCCTCCTGGATTTTGTTGTCACAGAATTTACGACAGAATCCACAGCCAACAACAGATTATCTGCCAGACACACACTCATAATTTTAAAAGTGCTTTTAGAAAAATAATCATGGAAGTGTGAATAGTATAAACTGACAGTGGCAGTTTCCCGGGAAACAACAGCCCAAAGACATTTCCAAATTTTATTTAAATAAACATTTACACAGGCATGTGCTGATTTCTCTAGCATAAACAACAAGTTACTTGGTTTAAAAAAAAAAAAAAATCTCAGTTGAGTGAGATGTCAGTGCAAGTCCCAGTGTTCAATCTATAGATACTTAAAGATCCAGATTCATCCTGTATGTCATCTGCCAAGCTCACACTATCAGCACCAGCAGTATGATTTATGGCCACTGAGTACAGCGACTAGAAGGATTATACCTTTCCTATTCCTAACAAATTTATGCTTTAAAGATTAAAACCAGCACATAACCACCACAGCTCCCATTGCAGTGTCAGAAGTCCTATTTCATCTGCTGCAGAGTACATTAAACTACTTTTTTTTTTTTTTTTTTTTTCCTATGGCTGTAGCACATATCCTTTAAATCGTGTGCTCTATACCTAATAATTTCATTATAAATTGCTGAGACACACAAGAAAAAAAACTTGTGCTGTATGTGTAGTAACTAGCAAGACACACAGTGCTCTGGCCAGCAAGACTCTAGGTTGCATAATAAATCCAGATGTCAATATTATGACAACATTCTATCAATTAGCAATACAGGTTCAGCTATGAACCACATTCAACACTCTTAGACTAGGTCAACAAAGTAAAAGGCAACTATAGAAGTTATGTTCTGCCATATGACAACTTAAAATTAAAATACTTGAAATTCAGAAGGAAAAAAAATCCAGGTGTCAGCTTCTATTTTACTGAGGAACAACAAAAATACAATCCATCAAATTGAAAGTACAGAAAAAAATACAGCCAGAGAGTAAAACTCGTAATGAAAGAAGGTCATTAAATATTACATAGGAAAAATTTAAGATATAAACAGTTATCTTTCCTATTTAGCCAAAAAGTTACTGTTAACATCAGCAACTATAGGAAAAAAAAGATATTTTTTTCACTTTCTGCGAGTGTCAAAATAACATCCAATAATACTTTAGAGGTGAAAATGGTCTTCTTACCCAACTACACAAAAGCAAATATTAAGCTTTACAGAAAGTAAAATTACTGTTCACTGGGCCATTAGTCAAGAACTCTGTATTTTTTTTTCTAAGACCTGATCTCCAGGAAGCAGAGCATGGACCTAGATGGTTAACTTCTGGCAAGACTTTTTGAAAACTCAAATTCTATGCCCTAAGCTTTAGTCAGCACAGTTATTTCAATGGAAAAAAAAAAAAAATCCACATTCAAGTAAATGCTCTAACTACCATGTAATATGTCAATATTACTTATAATTAGGCACATATTAAACATCCCATCTATTTTTGGCATTGTTCTAAAATGTTGTTTACTTTTGTTCTGTGTAACAGGAGTGATCAGAAAAAAAACAAACATACAAGATAAAGTGTCAACATTCCCAGGAAATGTTTTGAAGGGGTTTGACTGCTTCAATGGGTTTTCTTCATACAGTTCTCTTATTGCCAAGAAAAATATTTTATTTCTGACAAATGTTGAAAATAAACTAAAAATGATCAATATCAAAATTGGGGTTGGTTGGGAAAGTGACCTTTTAAAAAATTTAAAAGATTAATCTCAACTGGTTGAGGTTCTGGGTTTGTGTTTGGGATTTTTATTGAAAAAAAAAATTAAGAACGATCAGAAAACGGAAAATGTTTGTTTGGTTTTTTTTTTCCCATTCAAATATTGCTTAAAACGAGGTCATCTTCTAAGACTTTCTCTGATTTTCCTTTACAATTCACTTCCTACTAGATTAACATAACTATATGGAGTTCTCTGAAATGGTACCTTTTGCATCAAGTTTTTCTGATCGGACAAGAAATTATAGTAAAAGGCATCACTTAACCCCTTATGGTTACTTACTTTACAGTTATTTTCAGAGTTTCTTGTCAGGAAAAATAAGGGTTAATGATTCAGGCTCTCAGTTTAAAACATTGCACATTAATGGCAGAACCACTATAGCTTTGCAAATGGCTAGCGTGGTTTAAGACGCTCATGCTGTGCAAGCATCTCCAAGCAAGCCTAGCAGCTGACCTGGAATTTGTACATCCTAAAACTTCATCACACCTGAACCCTCCAACACAGTGGCTGAGCCATGGAGACTGTGATCTTTAACTAGGAGATGTGGTCTAGCAGCTGGTAGCACCTTCAGCCACTCCACCGAGATCTGAACTAGGATACACTTCCCTTACTCTAAATCCTTAGAAATATTCTCCACTAAGCTTGTTGCCTGTAGTGTGTCCACACTCAGTTTACTCCTAGAGGTAAGGATTACTGGCATGTCTTCCTGCGTGCACACTGAAGTGACAGCAAGTGATGTTCACAGTGCACCAGTGTGACAAGACCAGGGCACGCACCAGTACACTGGCTGCCTTCGGCATTAAATCCAAGAGAGGAGCTCATGGTGTCCTGATGGATGTGGGGTTAGGACTACCAGACACACTGCAGAATATATTAGCCACGCGAGGTAAACACAGGTGTAGGGATCACTTCTAGCAGAGCACTGTATCTGAAGTTAAGGATTAAGCCCCACGCTGCTGTAAGTCCATCCATTATTCAATGCTTCTTTCAGCTCACTGTTATTAGTTGGTCAACTTAGCTTTCGCCAAAAGGCCACAGTCTGCGGTTTAGTCTATGTCAGCCAGCAAGTTCTTCTGCACAACTTTGCCAGATATCGTCTCTGTGTGTTGGCTGCTTTTATTCTGGGTTTTATTCTTTCTTCTGTTTTAATCGTAGATGCTTCACGGAGAAAGAATTGCGAATGCCCACCATTTCTAGTTTGTAACAAGTGCAATGGTACATTGTCAAAATACAATACTGTGGTCACATCTGAGACATTCAAGGCAATAACACATGTAGTTGTACTTCAGTGCATGTCCTTTGTGTTGCCAAGAACCAAAAGCGTCCTTATTGATTTTTGTTTTGAAGGAGAGGGCACGATAATTCTGAGATTGATACTATGCACCACTTTGCAATCTGATGCTTTTGTGAAACAACTACGTCAAATGAAACAGTTGCAGACACTCAATGCTTGGACACGCTTCAGTTTTCATCAACTGTATTAGAAACCTTCTATCAGGATTCAAAGAAAGAAGTTGGTCTTAAATTCCTTTATATAGCAATCTAATTAATACCCCTTTTAATGAACCTTCTAAATCAGATTCATCAGGTATTGACAGTTGACAAGGTAGAAAATACATACAACACCAATTATGCTTTTTAGCAAAATGAATATTTGACTAACAACAGACAGCAAATTATGGGCTAGGTCATCGTCTAAATGAAAATACATCCAGTATAATAAGCTTAAGACTTTTGTACTGCATATTTACTATGCTGAGCTATTATTTCAGTGTAGAAAATGATAAATTGATGGTAAAAGCATTGACTAAAAAAAAAAAAATTAAATTCTTACCAGGAATTTTTTTGGCCCAACCAATCATGTGAACCAGCTCTTTGTCTGCCAGTTTTGTCAGAGACATCATCATGGAGGCCTCCGTGAATGGTTTGCTGGGACGACTCACCAACACATTGGGAGGCTCCGCTTCAAGTAGTGTTAAAACAAACTGCTCCGGACTGACTGTGCTGAGCAGGATCTCTTTTACACGGGTGGCCGTCTCATTGTATTTCTTAGCTTTGCCAATGAAATGCACCTGATCTTCTGAACTGCGGTGGCGACGCAGAATCCGATATCCACAACGTTCTCTTCTTGAACCTGACACGAGAAGCACATGATTGCACTGAAGTATTTTTCTCTTGATGTTGCATTATGTAAACCCACATATTTGGAAAGAAGGGGGAAAACCCTTTAATACTGGATGATCTAATATTGAACATCCAGTTTCCAAATTTCTAGAGCATTCAGCATTGACTTTACTTTGTTTCCACTGACTTCAGCTGAGGCTTTTATTTATTTTACTAAACAAAGTTAGGTTAAAAATGTTTATTTTTGAACCTCAGTTAGCTCCCTTTGTCTATAGGAAAATTCCCATTGACATCATAAAGAGATAAATCAGGTCTTTAAATGCAAATAAAGATGGCTGTTTGTAAATTCTGTTCTGAAATTCTGTTTTAGAAGGAAATTGCGGGGAAGAAAAGACTTCTGAAAGTCTGAGCCATGATACAGAATAAATACCTCAGCCAGAAGCACAGCTCAGCCTCATTACTAGCTGAGTGGTCACCTAGGGGCTTACTGAGATGCAACCCATTTTTTCCCTACATCCGATTAAGCAACAGAAATTTCCCGAAAGCAAATTCAGATATCTGCAACTAGAAGGTCCAAGCCCAATGTTTGGAATTTTGCATGCAGAACACTATTTCTGTGCAAAGAGCAGTCCTTTAAATTCCCAGACTTAATTTATTATTCACTCTCACAACACCAAATATTTTCCAATTCTCTGTCAGCGTTATTGGTGGGATCATTGTTACCTGTTCTTGCATAGCTGCTATAGAAAGAGTCAAAAGCACCTCCAAAAACATGGTATAGGGATTTGCTTAAACATTCAACCATGGCTCCTACTTCCCTCACCCCTTCAGTGTATTCTATAACAAGGACTATGTTTACTGATTTACAAATAAACCTCGGCAGTAACTAGTGCACAAGACTGTACCATGTTAAAAATCTAGATATTTAAAAATATTGAGTTACTGAAAAGATCCTTAGATTGGAATCCTCCAGTACTTAACATTTTTGATATTACAACTAAATTGTGTTCTAAATGGACATGGGCTGCCCAGGGAGGTGGTGGAGTCCCCATCCCTGGAGGAGTTTAAGAGTCGGGTCGACATAGCACTGAGGGATCTGGTGTAGTTGGGAACTGTCAGTGTGAGGTTAATGGTTGGACTGGATGATCTTCAAGGTCCTTTCCAATCTAGTTGATTCTGTAAATCTTTTAGAAGGTTGGATGGTGTTTTTTTTGTGCTGGTCATCAACACTTTTACTGACATACGATACTCAAAGGTCAAATTTTCATAGATATGAAAATGTCTGTGCTAACATAAATCTACACCAGACCAACATTTATTATTGCATATATAGACACCATGGAGTCTTAAACTGTAATAAGTTGTTCCATTTGGTTTCAGTCCCACAATAAACTTCTGCACCTACTAGAAAGACCAGAGAATCTGGGTGTCAGCTACTGGTAGGTATGGTGATAGGTTTGGACATGCTAACAGAGACCTGTTCATATGTGTGTGGGCGAGAGTGTGTTCAAGGCACCTGGAAGAACAGCGAATCCAAGAGCCAGCTACTGGATAGCATTGAATTTCTAAAGCCAGTCACTGGAGGGATCCATAGCACATGTATGTTTCTGTGACAATTTTGGGCTGAGCACCAGCAACTGGGGTGAGGCTGCAGACCCAGAGGCCATCAGCTGGGGAGATACAGGGTCCTACAGGCTAACTATTTGACAGACTGACCAAACCCAGCTACTGGAAGGATCCATATTGCATAAATGCATATATTTTCCACTTCTGGTGATCACATGAATCCAGTAGTTGGTTTGTGCTGATCTGTGTAGCTGACTATGGATACAGGTATTGTGTGTATATGTGCCTAACAAGAATACACGCTCAGACATGCTACTGGACGTGAGGACATGGCAATGGAGCAGCTTCCCTCACCAAGCTACTGGGTTCAGGAATTCCTGCCATTCTTCATCCATGTCCAGAAGAGTTATATAGACCATGATTTGTTTAAATTCCAACCAGGCAGTGCAATTCTGGCCCTGGGTATCATTTAACAACAAGGTCCAAATATGAGCCAAATTAAAACAAAGGTAGTGAGGCCACAAAAAGATAATTTCAAATGCTGTTGACAAGGCTTTGTCTTGCTAAAATAAGATGCTTGGTGAATGCAGACACTTAGTGGTAGAGGTTCCTCAGATGAGGTGGCTTTTCAGGTCGTAGTCCTGTCTTGTCTTCAGCAGCTGTCAGGCCCCATTTGAGTCAACCCGTGAGAAGGGTGAGATGCAAAGGCCAGTTGGGTACAACCTGGAGGCACTGAAAAGGCTGGGTAAGGACTAACAAAAGTCTGCCAGGACTTTAAGGATGTGGAACTTTCAACTGCACATTGCTATCATCCTCACTTATTGCCTGTTCAGTGAACCAACTCAGATGTAAAAGAGAACAGGATGACCATTAAAGAAATTCTTAATATTGGAAAACACCCTTTACCTGGAAACTCAGGAGGCTGGAGAAGACAAACAGGCAAAGTTGGTTCATTGAACAGCCCTCAGGCATGGAGGAATCCAAGTGGAACAAGGCATTTGGAAATGGAAACATTATCAGCTGGAAGTCTGGCTTAAAGTCTGCACCACTTGGGGCAAGAATGGTTTTGCATCCTTAAAAGGAATATGAGTAGGATGAAATGGGTTGAGTACTGACAGGACATTTGCATAAATTATGGATTGAAGCAAAACCAAATGCTTAGCCAAATAACATCTAGCTAGAAGTTGCCAGAGCAGCCAAAAATCAGTCAGAGAAAGATAACATACCAGCTGAGACAAAGTTTGAAACATTATCATAAGGTAGATTCATGAAATCAGACGATGATGTTACCCCAAAAAATGGTTACCTGCAGAACTACACAAGTCACAGAGCAATTTCTTCAACCATCTGTCTGGACAAAATCTTTTCTTCCTGAGAGAGTCAAAGGACAGTGAGGCATGGACTAATTTCCACAAGGACACTTGGATGATGTAGTGAACTCTGTGCTAAGCCTCATTTTGGACTAACACACAAAGGTCAAGAGGAGAATCTTAAAGTGCCTTGTCAGCTCCAGAAAAACATTAGACTAGCACACTGGGCTGCAGACTGTTCTGAAGTCATGTCATGCACAGAAAGTATGTAAATATTTTCTATCTGGGAAGACAAAGATGAAAGGTCGACAGTGAGCTAAGCAAGTGGAACAAAAGTACAACTGGAGACAGATGAGGAAGTGCCTAGGTATCAGGGTGCTCTAGCTAGAGAGAGATCCATGGCTCTGATTTTCATGTCAATGGGCATGGTAGAGACAATAAGCACCATGAGAGATCTGAACTAAAGCAAGAAGCAACATCACACATTTTTTCTACTATTTATAAATATTATGAAGCATATTGAACGCGGGCATCTGAAAGGACAGAAAAAGAAAAGGAGCACAGAAGGACTAAAAGTCATAGGGAGATGCAAGGCAGAGGAGAAATTTTCCTGGGCTATCAAAAAGTACCAGCTGCTCCCTGAAATGCATAGTTTCTGTTCTTCAGTACCGGGTGGAGCTGTGACGCCCCCAAAAGAAGACACATGAACAGCAGTGTTTTAATTAAACACATGGAAAAGTTGTTCAGTTAGGAGCCATATTTAAAATTATAAACTCAGAAAAACTATTAGTTTAAGATAGAGCTGGGGAGAGGAGGAGATGCCTGACACAATGAGGAAGAAATTACAGCAGTTTGGACACATCTGCCAGAAGCAACCCGTGGTCAAACAAGCACTTGCTTATTGACCCTAGTTCAGCTCCTGGCACTGAAGTGAACCAAGTGCACTTTTGTGGGACTCCACATCCTCTGATCAGCTGTCCTCATCTCTGTTATACTGTCACCCAGACATCTCTGTGGCACAGAAAATATCAGGGCTTTGGTGCCAAGACTCAAGTTATCCTTTCCAATTCACTGTTGTAAAGATTTTTAAATGACATTTTGTAGTCTATCCGAAATATAAATGCACAGGTAGGTGACCAGGTACTTTAATGAAGATCAAAGAAATCAGTAAAATTTTTAAAAAGACCCACATTTGTCCAGCATCCTGTTCTAATTGATATAACCTTGTACAATTTTCATCTGTGCAGCTGCACTCCACGCTCCAACTTAAAATATTCCAGTCAGGTTATGATACTTACTGACAGTACTAAAGGTCTCAGTAATTGTGGAGAGTTTTTACTGGGGAATAAGAAGCTCCTTTGTTACTTTAAGTTATTTAACTAAATCAGGTTTTATGTATAACTGGTACTTATTTAAAAAAAAAAATGCTCCATTTAATATATAAGAAATGTTTCTATAATCACATCTCCAGTGCAGAAAGCCAAACTTTGTTATGACATTTCTGCATAAAAGTCTTGTTACTAAAAAGAATATAGTTGGTGACAAAGGGGGGGTGGGGTAAACCCCTGATCAAACCAGATTATTGTTTTTATTTTTTAATCACCATATATTGCCAAAGCAGGCAAAAGCTGAGTCACTGAGCAGTGTGTGTAAAACACAGCTCATCAGTAATTAAGAGATAGTATTTATTTCCACGTTAAAAAAAAAAAAAAAAAACAAAAAAACATGCATTGTAAGATTACACAACTAAGAACACAACATTTAAGCTTGCTATCAATTGACACATCAGTAACGGCCTTTCCAATTAAAACAACATTTCAACGATGTAAAGAAACTTCTGTGCTTTTTATTCAAACCCAAATTTTAGGCAGGGCTGAAAAATTTTACCTGTACATGTATTGGCATCAAACAGGCACGTATAAGTGCTTATAAAACTATATTTTGTAAATCATTTTAGAGCAGCTTAATGTTTGGCTTAACTAGACACAGAGATGTGGATCAATCTATGTAAAGGCACAGCAATAAATTGCTTAGTTTCCCAGATTAGGGACTATTTATGACTCTATAGCTTAATAGCTAATATTCATTTATATAAAGGTAATTCAGGCAACTGGAGAAGAGCACAAGCTGATGAAATCCCTCATTCTTCCTACAGCACTCTCCTTATTTAAAGTTACTCTTTGTGCAACAAAATAGCTGTATTCAGCTGAGAATGCTGGACCAAAGGCAAGACCTCAAGCTACAGCACCATAGGCCACATGGGTAAATGATCACAAGAACATAAGAAATAAGATACATTGGAAAAAAAAAAAAATTAAAATGAGCCTGTTCACTCACCCATGAACAAGCCACAACGGGTATTACTGGCAGTGAAACACTATTTTTAAGCAACTCCTGCTTTACAAATTCTTTGAAAATCACAACTGCCTCTGCTGACTGATATGGTGGGCAGTTACATGGCACGTTGCTCTTAATATTGATTCTGGTCCCTGGCAACTGCTTTTGTAACTAACCAGTTCAGCAGCAACTGCCGATTCTACCACTGAATATATTATAATTTGTTTTTCTAAGCGTTTGAGCTTAAAACTGCTAAAGTATACATTAGTAAATCATTATCTCTCCGGTCACCTTTGAAAGCAAATGCAAATATTCTGGTGAGTACGTCTGTATTCACGGAGCAGACCTACTGACAAAGCTGCTGTCTGCCGTACAGGCATGAGAACAGGAGCTGAAATTACAGTAATTTCTATAATAGCTAAAATACAATTAATACATCTGACGTCCAGAGAATGCCATGAAACATTTTTTCCCCACTTACTTTCTGTGTGAAAAGTAATTTACAGTATTTCAGAGTGCTATCCAGAAACTGCACACAGGAGAAAAAGAGCGCCAAAGCCTGAACCATATCAGTCCACAGAGAAGTACATTTTTCTTTCTGCAAACTTGTGAAATGATGCCAGTATTCAAGGGCAGTATCTCTCCACCACTTTTTAGTATTGTCTCTCATCTTCTTCATTTGGGGTGGGAAAGGGGCAGAAAAGAGCTTATTCTTTGGAGCATTTTCAACACGTTGAGAACTGGCACATGGGGGAAAAGACACAGGAGCAAGGTAGAGTGGAGAAATAAAAGGTAAGTCTAGTCCAACAGTGAAACTGAAAACTCCTTATGGAAGAATGTCTATTTGAGCCTCAGGAAGCAAAAGGGAAAAGCATGAGCATAGCTGCTCCCGGAGTGGCTATAGTTAAGCGATGAAGCAACTCCCCGCTTTCCTGACTTTGGCAAACAGCCCAGCCCATTTCAGCTCCCCAGGTAAACACCAGAAAGCTCCAAGAGAAGATCAATTTTACCCTGATCTGTTTTATTCAAGTTTGCTCGGCAGAGTTAACTGCAGTTTTTCTGTTTTCCTTGTTCCTACTATAGTCCTAGTGCCAAAATTTAGCAGTAGCTGTCTTGGTTGGAACAGTAGCCAACACAGACTTCCCATGGAGAAATTTGCAGATGTGGTGTCTAAGACCCTGAATGTGCTTTTGGCAATGATGGTATATTTTGTAAGAAAATCCATTATCCCCTTAACACAAAGCACCCCCAGGCTCGCCTCCACTGAAATACCTGTGGCTTGTTGGGCTGACTTCCCAACATTCATGAAAGCGAAGACATCCAAGAGAATTTCAGACCAGAAAACTCCAAAGCAACACTTTCCTACTGCCTCCTACTGTTTTAAAGGTGGTATGTACTGCCTAATCACATTTACACACAGAAATGTATGTGATATATACACACACACACGTGTATTTTTTCTCAAGGTGTCTATTGATAATATGAAAAGTTAAGATTTAAAGATTTGATGCAAACAGTGCAGAGTTTTTATGAAGAACTTTGATAAACTACAAAGTGGTAATTGAGGTTCTTTTATCACTTCTGCTGGACAACAAATCACCGCTGAGCAAAAATGCACTTACAAACCATTCTATCTTATCCAGGGTTTTAGCAGATGTGAACCAATGCATTCACTAAGTGACCTGGGAAAGGAACAAAGATGGGGAAAAGCCTTCATTAAAAGAAAATGTACTCTTTTATGGCTTTCTACAGTAAAAAACACTGGTATTAAAGCATAGCTCTAACAAAGAATTTGAAAGATAATAACTCTGGTCTGCAGGAAATAGCATTTATGTTTCATGCAAGAAATATAGTCATAAAATCTGTCTGGTTTAAATGTCTGTCACCGTGTGTCCGTCCATGCATCAGCTTTACTCACAGGTGCCACTTAACTCATCAGGCAACTCAGACAATTCTGAGTAATTTTTATACTCCTTTTTCTGAAATTAAATTGTTAAGACTCACAGATTCTCAAGTCTCAAATTTCAGTGCTACTATTAAATAACCCGATTTTTAAAAAATACAATTCCTGTTATTTTCCTGTTATAGTTTCAAAGTGTTGGGTTTTGTCTGGCACAGTCATTAATGTCCTATAAACATTCACTGTTGTAGGAAAATATGTTTATGAATACGTGACAAGATTAAAAGGAACACAGGTTAAGATATAAGTACATATTATTATTTATTACCTATAGTAACATAGTGCCGCTGAGTCCTAATCACAAACCAGGACTTCCTGGACAATTAAATTGATCCTTTTATTCTAAGGAAAGTATTGTGGAGGATCACCTTAAAATATCATACTGGAATCAATCTTTACAAAAACACTCCGACTGCAGAACTGGGGCTTGATAGAAAGCCCTGTTGGAAAAACTTTGAGTAAAATTTTCAGTCATAAAGATGAACAAAAGACAGTGACACAATTCAGAGAGTAAGGTTTCAGAAGTCTCATTTGCAAGTGTAAGGCTTTCCTTTCTGGAGGCCAGACAACAAAAGGTAGCTAAAACCATATTAATGAAAAATACCAATACTGTTGAGAGGCATCATTAGTGTAGAAGATGACAGGGGATTCATTTAGAAAGAACTAGCTGACTTGAGCAACAGAAACTAAATGTACTTCAGGAGTACAAAAATAATACATGGAAAAATTGGAATTTTAGCTCTAAGGTGAGAGTTACCAGCTAGAAATGAACAGGGAGGCTGCAATCATAGCAGATCATAAAATTATTATGAACTGCCAGCATGATACAACCACGAAAAAGGCAAATAGGATCCTGGGTTGTACGCAGAGAAACGCTCCTGCAGAAACAGATATGTATTAATGCTGCTACTGTGGGGAGAGTTCACAGGAATACTATTCATGATTCCGGTCATCCCAGTGCAAAATGGATTATTTCCACCTGGAGCAGACTGACAGACAAGCTACCCTGATGACTTCCAGATTCAGTCTACTCTCCCATTTTGCAAGAGGAGAAGATTTCTTCTTTATTTAGTGTAATAAAACAAAGGTTGTGAGGGGATACGATGTAGTCCATAAATACAACCAGACCATTAATAATTAAGAGAAGATAAGCCTCCAAGCTACAAGACAGTGCTACCACAAGAACAAACGTGCATTAACTGTCCATCAGTAAATGCAGGCTGGAGTTCTAAAGAACGTCCCTAATGAAAGAAATAATATTCTCTGAACAGCCTTCAGATCAAAGCCGTGAGAGGATGAAAACAGGGCCTAGCCTTGAAATAGAAATAGGTATCTACATTAAGTACGATGAAGTGAGACGCACACCTGCAAATCACAGAGGATCAAGCACAGTGACCTTCTTTTTTACATTCCACTATTCCTATGGGATGTTTTCCTCGCCTATTTCTATTATGTACATTGGGAAATCTATAAGAAACAACAAACCTTGAGTATGAAAGTACATTAGCTATTGAAATATCTTTCAATTTATTTTATTCTTACAAGTAACCTTTAAAAATTCATCTATAAATGTACAACTATGTTGAAGTCACATCACTGTAAGTACAAGATAGGAATACGAGAAAAAGCTGGGTAATTCTGAGTGGTGCTGGGACAACGAGCAGTTCATTATTTCTTCTGATGGAAGAGCTGCAGGGCATCATCTGGAAACAGCCTGTTCAAAAAAAGAAAAGCCTGCCCACTGCCCTCCCTTACTGCCCCATCAAAGCCCCACAAAAAAGCCTGGAAAACAGAGAGCTTGTTCTTCACATGGCAGGTGGTCAAGCTGCTATGGGATGTTGTAGACGCTAAAACTTCACAGGATTAAAAAAAAAGCAACAATGGAAAAGTTGCCATTCTATTAATATATTAAGACCTATTAAATACAAGAAACCTCTTCTAGACCGTAAGTCCCCCACTGCTAATTTTTGGAAGCTGGGAGTTGTCAGTAGTTTCACTTAGATGCTAGTGTCACGCTTACACACCTGAGGCATTCGCCCCTGACACTGTTGGAGGCAGGATATTGGGTTAATTAACTACTGCTTTGATGAGGCACTGCTGTTCTTGCATTACATTCAACCAGCAGAGCACAGTATAGGCTCATTTACCCCATATTAGAAGGGATTTCAGTTTGGCCTGGGGCTCAGGCAGCAGCGGGTCTTGGGTTCCCATTCTGCAGAAAACAGCATGCGAGAAAACTGCCTTCACAGAGCTCTGCAGAGGTACTATGGTTTTCACATGCTTAACCTATACCTTACTCCTTTCCACAGATTTTTTTCTGAAAATGAAAAGTCTTCTTCTGATTTAAGAATCAGTACGTTCCTTCCTATAAAACCAGCTTAGATCTTGCTCTAATTGTCTGTTGTGCCTTTTTAGGATTTCAAGGGGAAAAAAAAAATAAAGTGCTATATAGAATTGACTGAGGGGTAAAAAATGAAGCTAGCAAAACCCAAGCAAACAGCACAGACATACAAAACTCACCACATTTCATCATTCCCACTTCATAACATTTCCGTAGCCGGCATGCCTGGCAGCTTTTGCGCCTGTTTTTGTCTATCGTGCATTGATTGGTAGCTGGGCAGATGTAATCGTTATGTCCTGCAGCAGAGTAAGAAGAGAAGATTTAACAACTCCAACAGTCTCTTGGGGTCATTTCCCAAATCAGAACCTTCTTGATTTTAAGCATCTCAACATTTTCATACACATATATCTAAGCTCCTTTAATTTAACTGATTCAAAAATGCATATTTATCCTATACAGAAAACATTAATCTGTGGCCTCAAATACCAACCAGACAACATAGATCACCTTGTAGTGATGACTATTGGACAACCAAGCACCTCCTAACACCCACTCATTTTTGAAAATGGGACATAGGCTCTTGTGGAAATTTGTTCCCAACCTCCAACTTCTTACTGTATATTGGGACTCTACAGATGGCATATAGTAGAGGTTTTTTTCCCCTCATCAGAGTTGAAAACATCAGTGTACACAGCTTCAGTCCTGCAAAGATTTAAGTAAACTACAGCTCTATTTGCTGAACTCCCTGATGTGGTGAATTCCAGGAAAGAAGCTGCCTTTGGAGGACTGACCCTGGACCAAAGCTAATTAAAAAAAGCAGCCCAAGAGAGAAAGAAGACCAGTATAAAATAGTGCATACTGTATAGTATGAAGAAAAGCACAAACAGAAGGTATAACTTTTAGATACTGTGGACAAGTGTTTCTCTTATTTTCATCAGTTTCCACTACAGCCTCTTCTGTTGTCTTCTGCTCTCCCACCTCACTGCTCGTCTCCCCCCAAGCCCCTTTATATTATTGTATTTCATTAATCAATAATCTTATCCAAAGATTAATTACTGTAAACTGGACTTCAGTATGCTCTTGGTGTAAATACAGTCAAACAATCTCCTGCCAAACACTGGAAATCTCTCTCGCAGTATTTATCAAAGGATGCAAAAAATATTTGCTCATTTACATTTCTTAATATCTTTTCTCTCAGGCTGTTTTTTAAAGTTATTTTTTAAACTTTAAGAACAGATCAGGCAAAGATACAGCTACTAGAGTTTTTTTACTTGATGCAAGTCCAAGAGTTCATGTCCCCAAGAGTAATTATTTAACTGAACCATTGTGACTATTTCCTTGCAATATTAAAATAATTTTAACCTTGAATTTTTGAACTGACATTCTGAAAAAGAAGAGATCAGGTTACAGTTTGTCCAGTTTCCTACTGGCAGATATGACTGAAAAACAGATTACTGTTTATCACTCTTCACGCAACATGGGGGGAATGGAGAAGGAAGCTCTCTGTTGCACTATAACCCAAGCACACATATATATAAAGTGGTTTAAAACTCCTGTGACCTTGGGCTAGTTTAGCTTGCAGGCAGATGTTCAGAGTTGTGGACAAATACGCTACACTACAAACTTGGACAAGCAGAGGAGACCACACACAGTTGCTTGGTCATACCATCCAATTTTAACTAGGCATTAGCCCAACATTTCGGTCTATGGTAGGCCCAGAAGTTTTTTCTTTCTATGAACAATATTCTTCATAACAACAATTGCAACTGAGTGCTTGATAGTGTTTTATGTCAAGAACTTACTTTCATGTATTTGAATTACAAACAAATGTTACCTGACAGGGTACATTAAGGTGTACAAAAGGCCACAATAGGTAACTTGTTCACAACCAAAGCACAGGTAAGCAACACAGAGCAGGCAAACAATTTTCCTGACAGAAAACACTTTGAGATCAAATTCAGCCTCTATTTGTGACAAACTGAAGACAAAGTTCTCTTCAATTATTTTAAAAATCAAAAGTACTTGCACCAGTGTATAGCAATCGTTATTTAAGTCAGAACTTGCACAATAAATTGAAAGGGCAAGCAAGTTCTGACTTAAATTTGATTCTAATGGTGACACCAGCTCTGTCACAATGAGCCAAAATAAAATGTCTCAAGATTGCTAAAGGTTTTGTGTGCAGAAGAGAAACATTACAGACAAAAAAAAAATGACAGGATTTTCTGTGTTAGCATCCACATGTAGTGTCACAGTGTCAAGCCAATCAAGTTTCCACCAAGAGGCCCCAGATGAGGACAAAGAACATAAAAACTACAGCCAAGATCAAAGAAATTAAGTGGTCTAATGCTGGTGTGTAAGTCACTGCTCACAGACTGTGGTAACAAACATGGAGACCTATATTTACTTCATACTGCGGCCACTCAGCAAATTTGAACTAATTACCAAATATTCAAGAATTTAAACACTGAAGTGGAAATCATAGACAGAGAAATCTGGCAGAGTAAGAAATACTGCAGTGTAGACTCTTGGGGGTGGAGAGCTGAGAAATAACAATAGTGAGGTTTGTTCCTAATGCTATCTACACAGTATGTAGGATATAAAAGTATGTGTAGCAATTATATGCTATGACTCAACAGCTCCAGGCAACGTACACTTGTCAAGAATAGTTCCTGGCAAGAAAAGTCTCCAGACAATTACCTACTCTAACTGTGCCTATTACAACAAACCCACAATTAGTATGTCTACTTTGGGACACAAACTGCAATCAGATTCACAAGTCCACAGTGCCATCCCACCAAGGCCTTTCCTGAAGGGCTTTCCCATGCCATGTATTCCATCTCTTCCCTAAAGAAATCAATTTCTCACTTTAAAATGTTTCCAGATCTTGATAAGAGCCAAAAGACAGAGCATTCAAACTATGTGTTGCTCCATTTTCAGCATGCAGCACCATACACCAGAATTTTAGATCAGCTCATTACTAGATCAGCCGCTGCAGCCCTGAGCATATGAAACAACTTATTTGAGCAAAGTTATCAAAAGCTGATTCTCCTACCTTGAATACTTCTTTTAAAGAATGCTTTGCAGCCTTCACATGACCAGACCCCATAGTGGTATCCTGAAGCATAGTCACTGCAGACTGCACAGAAGTGAGCATCCCGTTTTGAGCCAGGATTATTTGCAATTGGGCTTGTACAGTCACTGCCATTAGTTTTTCTTTTTAACATTTCTCTGATAGAAAAGAAAAACATCTGTTATAAAAGAGGAAAAAATTAATCTACATTGCAAAGAGTTGAATTATTTTCCATTGTCTTCTTCAGAGCCTTCTTATTACTGAACACAGGATAGTGTGAAACACTGTTAAGCCTTTTTCTTATAAGGTTATTTAAATCCTAGAATCTTTCAGTGGTGACAGACTATAAAGTTATAAAATACTCGAGGGCATAAAACTAGACTACTGATGTGTCATTCACATGAACTCTGGGAAAATCATATGGTGGTGGATCTTGAAGAATTCTTGGAAAAGTGCAAGTCTAGGAATTTGTGAACCAAGTGGGCTTTGCCTTTGGGAAGCTTCACATGGAAAATGTAAACTCAGAGAGCTCAGACTGACATGATTAATGCTACCACAGAGCTGCAGTTGCTTCATACTGTTAGTAAGGCAAAATTCTAGATTGAGCAATACACATCTAGTCTCAAGTATTTAATCTTTTAAAAAAGGCTTTATTCATTCAATGAGATGCTGGAGACAAGTATCTTAAGATGTGAATCTCAGCCTACAAGATGAACTCACAATGTTAGACAAACTTTTTGGTTCAAGGTGATGACCCATGTTGATCACCCTAATGCTAAATAGAAGGAAGTCTCAATACAAGAAAAATGGAGAAACATAGTTAATAAAAGCCTTTCATACATTAAAAAAAATATTGATCCATGTAAATTAGTAAGATATATGCATTTCTGAAGCACTGAAAATAGTTCCAAGAATAGTTCCAGTATCTAACTGGAACTATTCTTAGCAACTAGATTAAAACTAGAACAGGATAAAAACATGAAATAACAGCCAATTCCTGACACCAAAATCCTGTAAACAAACAGCAAGAGGAAAGAACTTAGATTATCAGTAAAACAGTTTTTAGATATAGGAAGCATATCCATTCTGTACTTTTTGTCTGGACCTCATTATCTTGGTGGTTTCAGCATGTCTTACCTTCATGATCAATACAATTTCTAGATAGAAAATAGTGTAATGAAAACTGTCAGCAACAGTTTGACTAAGGGAAAGCAGTATAGTCAACTTATACCTATAAACTTAAGCACAGAGGGAGAAGTTAGAAACTGTAGAATTATGCTCATCCCACCTTCCAGAAGGATTAGGGAGAAGGAGAAGTATCAGTTGGGATAGAACAACGGTACATTGCCAGGGCAGAAGAAACCTCTTCACCAACAAGAGCAAATTTAAACAGAACAGTACAGAAACATGCTGAAAGTGCTGTCAAAGAGGCTTTAACTAACATATTAAAACTAGACCTTGTGCTGGTTTCATGACAGGAGGTAAGGACAAACACATCAACATGCCAACTAAAAATCATCAAGTTTATAAAAATTTGAGGAGAATGTGCTTCAACTTCCTAGTAGAAAATTTGGAAAGAAAAAAGGGTGGTGCTCTGAGAAAATTCCAATAGAGAAAAAATAAGGTGTTTGTTGTACAATGAAGTTACTGCAAGCTTTTAAAAAAAGGTTAATTCATTCAGATAGTGCTGGGCATAAGGGTGTTCAGGTGTTTAACAAGGCCAGTTTTTGATTACACACACACACTCCTGTTAATGGACTGCTGCATCACTAAATTATTTCCCCTTCTGCCACGCTGGAAATACCCGTGTGGGGGAATTGTCCCTTACAATGAAAAGCATGTGTGATACAGTCCCAATATGCTGCTAATGCAAGGAGGAAAAAGCATTGCTATTCCTTCCTATTTGGAAGAAAAGGTAATTTGGCATTTCACATTAGAAGAAGAGGTATATTTTTAAGCTCTACTTGGGAATCATGATCCCATTGTGAGAGTCAGAAGAGAATCAAAATCAGCTAGAGAGCGTCTCAGTGACTGATTAATACGCTGTAGAGAGTGATGTTTGTTGCCCTTGTTAAAGCACTGAGATGTTGTAGATTAAAATAAAGCACAAGCACAGACAGTAACCTCTCACTGAGGAATGTTGTTTTTTACCTTCAGGCCATGACAAGTGTTTTAAAAAACACTTTTTCTTTCCCTGCTTAAATTTAACAATAGTCACCCTGCACACATGCAAGCTGCATGACTTCTGCAGACTCTGGCAAACAACTTGCACACAGAGCAACAATCTGGAATGAATTCCTCCTGCAAACCGAAAAGGCATCAAATCTGCTCATCTGCGATAGCTGCAGCAGCACAGCAAGAGGTTCAAACCCAATCATTTTGTTACTGTCATCTTTAAGGACAACAGAACTAAGAAAAAGCTGAGAGCTTTAAGGTACATGTTCCTCATGCTGAGGACCTTGTGATCAGAGAGTGATTCCACACAAACATCAAACCAGAGCAGGTATAGCCTCACGCGTGGTCAGAGACCATCTCCGAGTGCTCTTGGGACTGGTGCACGCCAGCACGCTCAGCAGATGAATGAGCTGCCAGCTCCTCCAGAAGAATTGGCAGTAGCTGGCTGGATGCCCACGAAGCTCCTGCACCAAAGGATGCAGGAAAACGGGGGATGTACCCTGGCTGCTACTGAGGAACCACATGGTGAAAGATCTATTGCTTTACACCTCCTAATACTCATCCCTATTTTATAATCGTGGTTTCTATATAGAGATATGATGTTTCCATAAAAAGAATTTTTTTTTGAAAGTAACTAGTCAGTGATTTCCTACTAATCATCAACAGTGACAAGATGATTACCCGAAAGAGAAGGAATTAGCAAGACTATTTAGGTTATTCAGTATCTATCTTGTCTCCTAATTACCTCTAGCTTTGCCACAGCAAGTATTTGATGCATATGCCACACCCAAAAAACTTGAACTAAAATTCAACTTTTTATTAAAAAAGAAGGGTGGCAAGGATTTGACCTAGAAAGTAGTTGTCTGTCAGGTTATTTTGAAGCGTAAACTATTGTACATTATAAAAAGAAAGAGAGAAAAAAAAACAAAAAAACAAAAAAAAAACACCACTGAGAAAAATATAAAAGCATTAAATAAAAAATTAATAGTCCAGGTTTTATTTTTTCCCTCCCTTCCACAGGCCACTGGCTTATTCAGTGCCTGGAGATAATTCAATCCCATAGAAGGCTAAACTGTAGGATGAAGGCGGCTCTTCCTTTCTCTCCCAGAATGTGTGCAAGGTGATGGGCAAATATCAGCTGAAGAATACTTTTCAATCTTTATCTCCCTCATTTTCTAAACCCTCCACTATAACTGGAACTGTTAAGACCACACAACCATCAATATTTATATCTCCAAAGCAGAGGTTCTGCTACGCTCCAAACATTGACTAATATGCTGAAAATCATATTATAGATATATCAACATTACGAGACATATTTTTTGCATAATCTCTGTAACTATTCCATCATAAAATGGAGATGCCAACCCATCACCTCAGACAGACTTCCAGATACATTTAAGTGCTCCTCAGAATTAGCACAATAAAAGGATAGAAGAATAGTGCAAACAATTATGGGCTCAGAGCAGTTTAAGCAATGTATAAACATGATATTAGCACACAGTGAACAAGACGAAGTTACTAAATCATTTCTAATTAAGCAAGCATTGTAAGCCTGCATACTCAAAAACCTTTAAGTACATGCTCTACCTACAATTAGTCACAAGCACAAGGAAAATAATAGAAAAGAAGAACAAATTAAGCTCTAGAAACACCACTCTGGCAACTTCATTAAAGCTTCCTTATAGTTTTTAGAAAATAACATTTGGAATATAAACCTTTTGTTTCTTTATTAAAATACTTTTATTTAGGGGATGAAGACAAAAATATATTTCAGACTACTTTTAAATATAATTACAATATCATGTTCTTTTTATTTTTATGTCATTTTAACGCAAACTGAGTGATCCTGCACCAACAAAGTTTATGAGACTCTTTCTATTGTCTTCACTAGATACAGGACCTACAATGCAAGTAAGTATAGCAGTCTTCATCCTCAAATTATTGATATTTCATACCAAAGAAATGGAACTCTAAAAATTCACATCTATTTTTACATGGAATACAAATAATTTTTGTTGAACTATTGGTACAAAGTAACACTATACTGCATAGCATTTGTGTTTAATTAAGTTAAATAAATTTCTTCTGGATTCTTATAATAAGCCTGTTTGTGAGGAAGGGGAATGCCGAGAATTCAGGTTCTTTATTTTAAGGAGATCCAAATTACAGAGTCATCAGCTTTAGCAAAATGGACCACATTTAGCTAATGTTAACATAAATTTACACCCAGGGAAAATGAACTCTTCTCACAGTGAGACTTGCTTTATATTGAAAGGTAAAATAAACTCTGTAACAGGCTTAAACATGTAGTAATGCTTTCTTACTCATCTTCAAACAAAATCCCTTTTCTCAAGCTACAATGCTGTATAAAATGACTTAGGCTTTTCAGCATTAGTCTCTCCCTTCCCCCACTCCTATTCCTTTAAATTTCAATCCCAAGAACTCTTCCTTCAAGATATAATCTACAAATCTGTAGTGTCACAGTCATTGTTCCCATGGCAATAAATATAATGTTCATGACATTAATTTAATACCTCACCAAAGGATAAAGCAAAAGGAAACACAGGGCTTTTTTTTTTTTTCCTTTACAGCCTAATTTCAGGACAGATATCCACAATAAAGAAATTATAACTCTTGATTTTGGTGTTTCCATGTCAAATTAATTTTTTTTTGTTTTTTACAACTTCTGTACACAAAGGGGGTGTTACAATGCATCATACTGAAATGAGCCACTGAGAAGGTCCAGCTACCAAGCAACGCTATAGTTACTTGCTGCTGAACAATAAAGAACATCCATAAATTTTAACTCCAGATCTCATGGATTTCTCCTCTTTAATTTAAGTCATCATCAGCTACAAGAGCAATAGTCTGTATGAATCTATACAAATGTCAGAAGACATATTTAAACTCCAGTGTGGTAGCTTTGGTTTCCCTTCTGTCTATGTAAGAGAGCACACTGAAGAGCATCAGATAGGATGCTCTTGCTCTTGGGTTACTCCAGCTGCTGTCCCATCATCCGGGTGGTTTCAAACACTAACCCAGAGCAGCCTTCCCAGGGCTGTCAAAGTTCTGTAATATTAACTAAAGTGGGAAGAGTTTCAATGTTAGCCCTAGTCACCTTAGACCTGCTTGGGAAATTCTTCTGTATCCAAACAGCCTCCCCCAAACCACATGCCTACACTTAAAGCAGATTTGCACTCCAGAATTGCTTGCTACTCTCTGCTGACTCCAAATAGAGACTAGCCAGGTGGCCAGGGTGAAGATCTGTGCAGCCTACAAGTCTGAAGTAGATGTAGACCTCACATCTTAGCCCTGTGCAGTCAACAAAAGACCCCACCCATTGCAGAAGAAATGTGGGTCATTTTTCATAGAGACAATGACTACTGAAGTTAAATAAGGAGCCCTATGAATAAACATACAGCTGCTAAAACAGGAACAGCACGTGCAACACCCTGAGCTTTTATCCATCCAACAGCTGTTGCACCCGTGAATGGGTAATTTCATCAGCTGATGATCTACACACTGCTTATGGTTTGTAATATGAGTAAATGTGCAGAATGGGAACATGTTTTGCAAAGTTACAGCTTTCTTTACAGCTGAAAATTTAGCTTGTGAATCTGCTGTTCACAACGCCTTCATAAAGTCAGTTGAGAACAACAACAAGAAACATCAGACTTTTTCAGTAGCAGCACCCTTTTACACATGATGCATGTTGCTGTATAACTGTTAATACTAAAACCAAAAAACAAAGATAACATTTCCCTTGAATTCTAAGTTCATGAAAAATCTTCACAGCCACTAGATGCAGTAAAAAAAAAACCATTTAAAAAATCCAGATAATATGGAATCCAAACAACATTGTATGAAAGAAAAAAGAATAAACTTTTACTTCTTTCACTCAAAGGATTTAATTTGTCAGTGCAAAATTCATTTTTATTACACAAAGTAGTACCCAGCAGTCTTGAACTTTTGTTTATACAGTAAACAGTTCCCACATTGAAGGCATTTGTAGTGCTTTGTGTCAGTGTATCATTCTCTAACGTGCTACTGTAAAATCCTATTGCAGAAATTATATTAAAAAAAAAAAAAACAAACCAACACTCAGGACTGATTTGGTGTTTGGTGGAGGCTTTTTGGTTTGGTTTTGTTTTTTTTCAGACACCAACATATGGAAGTCAAATGTAAAAAGAAAAGACTTAAAAGAACTAAAGAAACTGCAAATAATTTTCAGCAGTTTTAAAGAAATGAGTAGTACTGACCTGGTCACCGGTAGCACTGGCTCCGTCGGTCTAGCTTCGCACCACGGACTCTTTGGCTGCTCTGCATATAGAAGCGATGACTGACAGTGCAATGTCAGAGGGGAGAGATGGCCAGAAGCGGACCATAACGCATTGGGGCTTGATGTTTGCCTCCCAGATGCACTCTCTGAATCACCAAAATTACTGGTAATGTTATAATTCATCATAGCAGGACTGCAGAATGCCATTGCAGAATATTCATGTCTGTTTTCCATGTAAGACGAGGGAATAAATACTGGACTGTGTTCTGCTGTCAATGTGGACTGATTACAGCTGTAGGGAACTGGAGAGATGATACCAGCAGGTGAGTTTTTAATTTCTGTTTTATTGCATCCAATATCCTGAAGTGGCAGCAACTGAGAAAAGTCCTTGTGAGAAGATGCACACAGGGACATTTTGAAGCAAGACTGAAGATTGTTGTTTAAATATTCATCCTAAAATCATAAAGTATAAAAAAAGTTGAAGTAAGAAATTTCTCTATTGCCTTTTCTATAAAAGAAAAAGGAATCAGTAAATCAGAAAATATAAAAATATCCTGTTAAAACAGATTACATACCAAAGGCACTTAAACAGTCAATGTACAAATTTACTACCTTTAAGAAAGCTTTCTAGAACTTCCTTAAAAATAAAGGCTAAGACACATGTTGAGTTTAGACTCCCTTAACTAATGGAAGGAAAAAAAAAAAAGACAAAAACCAAAACACTTGGAAGTCTGAAACAGATGCCGGTGACAACTTGGTTCTTAACAAAAGTACCTCATTACAACCAGAGTAAAACTGCTCTGTCAGAGGCAAAATTACCCTACAGTCCACAGCCATGGAGTGAGTGCCCTGAGAAATCAATTCTCTTTATAAAAACTCACTATCTCCTGCTACTGTTATAGGTGTACTACTTCAGCCTTCTCTTTATCAACACAAACATGTAACAGCAGATATTTTGAGAACACACACACACACACACACACATATATTTCCTTTACCTTCCAAAACCAGAACTCCACCGCACAACCCCTCTCCAGAGAGGAGGAAGACATGTAATGGATGTCAGCAAGCAATGCAACTTCATCACTGCAAGATCCCTGGATATGGCACCTCATTATAAAAGTAGAAGTCACAAAATGCAGGTATTTCCAAAGCTCACAACACAGATTTCATATGGTCTGGAAGTTTTATAATTTTCTGTCACTCTCCATCCCCATCCCAAGTATTCTCTATCCTTCCTCCTATCTGAATCAACTATCAAAACAGAGACCTTAATTTGCTCATAGTAAATACTCTTTGCCAGATGTAGGTATATCCAAATTATTTAAGGGAGAAAAAATTTTGAAAAGAAAAGAAAAAAAAAAGTCCTCCTGAGCCATAACCCCTGTCCTCAAAGCATTACTTTACAGTAGTATTTAATTTTTTTTTTTTTTATTCTTCATTATGGGTTTCATCTGCAATTCATTCCAGCTTTGAAGACAGACATGCAATCATTACAGCTTGCAATCCAAAACAATTCTGTTTCCAAAATAGCAAGTTCCAGCCCCCAGAACTGATATTATAGTGTACTTTTACAGAGGGTAATAAGATAGTAACATGAAAAATTACAGGATAACTAAAAAGTAACCCAAAGCTTTGCTATTCCAGAAGTGGCCAAAGTATTGACGCTAAATATTCTTACCTTTTTTCACCTCATGTGACCATAAAGCAAGATGAGGAAGATTCAAACACAGGATTGCTGAAGTAAACCAGCAACCTCCCTGTCCCAAAAATTCTCAGCCAGATGGCATTTCTAGTACACCGTCTTGGGCAATTGATACTTTTTTCTCCTCTAGGACCAGGACTAAGGGCAGAAGCATTCATAAAAAATGTAAGAAATAGTCTTTTTTAATAAAATGGACAGTTACAGTCCATCCTTCCTTCTCACTTTAAACTCTGTTGATGAAGCTGAAGATATCTGTAGAAATAACCAGGAACTCATTTAAATCATCTCAGGCACTTCAATTCCAGCTGCTGTTTTTTCCTTTGTGGGAAACAGGAAAATGAGATATCTCAGCAGCTGTTTATGTCCAGCAGTTGTTGCACAGGAACTCCAATGTAGCCAGAGCAGGAGAATCTGACCTCACTCCTCACACAATCCACACACTTCATTTGCCCCAACAGCCAGATGCTTGTCTCCTCTAAGAGAAACCAAGCATCATCTAATTTTCACTGCAAAAAGCACTAAAAATCTCAAAGGTGATTTCACTCCCAGATTATGGGGTGAGCACCCCAAATAATTTTTAAGCAGCATATGATGGAACTAAGAAATTATTTTAAGACTATTTTCAGTGGTTACTACAATAAGTCCAGTAAGTACACCGAGTTCAAAATGCATTTAAAGCCTCTGTGTAGGTAAAGCCGTGTAGTATTTGCAATCTCGGAGGCTGCATGTATTCCAAGTGTGTGTGGACAATCTGCAGGAGCATCTGGAATGTCCAGCAAGGGCTGACTGCCCCAACTGCATCCTGCTGCTGCCCTGCAAAGGGCACACAGTGCAGGGTAACCCCAAGCCCTTCTAAGAGAAGGACCTGAAAGACATGACAACATCTCTGTTCTACTCACAGCTAGAGAATGTTTGATACTTTCAGAGTTTTTGCAGAAGGCAACTGGTTGTGTAGTTTCCCTCAGACATTTGGAAAATATATGCATGTACGTTGCAGAAGCAGGGAGAATGGAGAGCTAGTACTACACAATTTCATGAACTGAAATCAGCTGAGCTTTAAATCATGTTTTCCTGGCATGGTAATGCAGTAGAGTGGTATGCAGGACAACTGCCTATTTAGCAGAGGGTCATATTCTCTCCAAAGTGCAACACACTATTTAGAAACATAGACAGAAGTTATGAGAAACAAGAGTGAAGTTTGTTTTAGAGGGAAGAGTCCACGCAACCATGAAAAGTCAGTACAGCCTTCCTCAAAAACACACTGCTCATAACTTATTTAGAAGAGGAGGTTCCAGAAGGTTAAACAAAAATGTATTCATGGTCTTCAGGAGACTGCAATATAGTGAAAAAGATAACAGTATTGGCTTAAGATAATTAACTTGGGTCACAGAAATAGTTTAGCCACAGTAGGCTATGGATCTACATGAGATCACATTGTTCATGTTTTCTTATACCTAGAGAACTTAGAATGGGAAGCCCAGAGCCTCACAAATAAAGTGAAGCTGCTGAAATTATCCACTAGTACTCAGAAGGTCCAAAAATCTGACTGCTGGACTGTGAAGTTAAAGGAGGACTGCAGACTCAGGGAACCAGATCTCAAGATGCAAGGCTAGAGAAAACAAACTCCACTAACTCCACCAACACCTCAGAAGGGAGCATGACCACATTTAAGCCAAGGTTTACAGTAAGTAACACCAATACCAATTCCATCCTGGTATAATGTCATCATATATTAAGCACCATTCATTAAGCAGAAATTAATTCCTACATAAGGTGAACTCCCATTCCAACATCTCCTCCTTCTCTGAAGAACGATTATAAAAGCAAGATTCAATTTTAAAGTACATTATTTAGATCTAATTATCAGCACTGCACTAGATCTGTACCAGACACAGAAACAAAACAGGTAACCATTATTTTTATACTACAGTCTTCTGGGAGACTGAAAATGTTTCAGTCCACTTAAGTCAGTGTAGCTTAGCAAGATACTCAACAACTGAAATGCCATTATTAAGTAAATAGCTATTTTGTCCCATTCCTTAAGTAACACTTACCATTCACAAATCTAAGTCACTAAGGGCAGGGTTCACATCTGACATAAGAGAGAATAGTTCCATTGCCTCCAGTACACAGAGGATGACACCGCTATCCATGAGGATGTAGGAATAAAAATGTGATATTATCAATGTTCTCAAAAAAAAAAAAAAAAAAAAAAAATTAATTAGGTTTCTGGTCTTTAAACAGCTCTACATATTGAACTCGATGTATACTTGAGAGTCACCATGCAAGACACACCAGATCAGGCACAAGAACTGGTTTAGATGTCATAGTCAAACAGATACATGGGTAAATAATTAAGCCATCTGACCTATTTGAACAAACTCAAAAGTCAGTTATTGCACATTACCTATACCAAGTATCTTTCTAAAAGCCTTGTATGAAATAAATAAATATTTTTTTTAGTTTTAGTTTTGGAAAGGGATAAAAAATAGGTAGAGAGGGTAGCGAGGGCAGGCTGCCATGTTTTAGAGCCTGCTTGGAAACATAATACAATAGGTTTTCCTAGAAAAATGCAACAGTCTGCAAAAAGCAATAGTGACATATGTTCTCAGGCACCATCCCATCAACATACACTACAACATGCTTAGAATTTTATAGGCAAGTCATATATTTTGAGCAAAGACTGTTTTGCAATAGAGAATTAATATGACCCGATTCTCTGCTAGGCTCAAATTAAAGTGCAATCATTCTTCCTTTCATTTTAATAGAGGTGATTCAGCAAGCATGCATTCCACTATCCCACAACCTAAGACCCTCAGTCATCTTGCAAAGTGTTCTATTAATATTCTGCTAAGTTAAACTTTACACAGCTCACCGCAACAATGAACTGAATCATTTTCTCAAAAACTGATCATTAAAGGAAAGTCATTCCTGATGCATAAAATGACACTTGCGCTTCAAGTTTTGTGAAAAACTTATTACTCATTAAACACAGCAGCGCCAGATACTGCCAACAGAAGGCATATAAGTAAACAAGTTTATTATTACCAGAGAAGGACTAGATGCAACAAGTAGGGGACAGACAGGGAAACAAAATGAAAATAAAGCTATCTGGCCAGACCTCAGATGTTGTACTCATTCCTGCAAAATTAATAGCCTGTTCTCAATGAGAGCAAGACCTTGTCAGAAGAAAACAGCAGATTAAAAGAACACAGGCAAGAATACTGTGCAATGCTTAAGGAAAACGAGCACTCTTTTTGGCCTATCTTAGCCTTTGTGTTACTGAGGACGCTGACAACTTCTAGATTATTCTAAACATTCATAAATATATTTCAGGATTCAATGCATATGACATACACAGGAAGCAACAAAGGAACATGGTTTGTTCCACCAGAGGAACACAAGACTGCAAGAAGGTCTAACTGCAGTCTTCTACTCCCTGAAGTGGAGTTACAAGGACAACAAAGCCAGATTGTTTTCAGAAAAAGTGCACGTCAGGACAAGATATCACAGTCACAAGTCAGTGCAAGGGAAATTTCAGTTGGACATATGAAAAAATTCTCCACAGTGAGAATTAAGTACAGGAACAGGATACTCAGGAAGGCTATGAAATCTTTTAAATCTGTGGAGATATAAAAAAAACTTGACTGAAAAAGGCCCTGAGCAGCCTGACCTCACTTTGGGTGGGATGCTGGATTAGTTGCTCTCCAAATGTCCCTTCCCAACAGAATTTTTTATTACTAT